CTTGCTTACTTGCAATTGAGAGAATTGAAGCTGTTGATAACGAGCTCAGTGGAGCAAGCGTGTGTAAGTGTGTGCGAGTGTTCTCAAGTCCACTAGCACTACGCTACGCCTTGAGACTCTCTCAAGCTGGCTCCTATAGTCAGATAAGTTTATTTGAAGATGGGCCAAGAGGCGAAATTGACGGAGAAGTTGTCCAGCGCGCAGGACTGGCGCGTCTGGCATCGCGGAGTCACGAACGAGGTTTCTCGCCTCGGACTCCAGGAGTATTGGGATAATCGTCTTGCTGGCAACCCTCCGGGGATTCCGCAGGCGAACAATGCTCCCAGTAACGCGATCCGGGAGAAGTGGCGCGGCCTGAAGGATGCCATCTACAAGTCGTGCACCGGGTCCGTGTCCACGTGGATCAGCAGCCAGCTCGACATCAACGACGACGCTGCGCAACTGTTCACGCGGGTCGCTTCGATGTTGCCTCCCGTGACCAGCAGCACATCAAGACGCCCTCGATCGACGCCATGCATTTCGACAACCGCGACGCGCCGAAGGATGCTCCGACGTTCCTGGCCCAGATCCACGAGCTGACGGCGATGGCGCCGAGTGTCTACGTCCCGGAGCCCGGGCGTCCGGTTGAAGATCAGCATGTCAAGAACATTCTGGACAAATTGCCCAAGATGTTCGCGTCGGCCTTCCGCCAGACCATCGACCGCTGCGTGGAGGAGTCGGATCACATCACCCTCCAGCAGATCGGCGACCGTCTCGAGAAGAAGCTCGCGCAGCTGGTCAAGGAAGGTTCGCACAAGATCGAGAGTCCGTCCTTCGGCAAGGCCTTCCCGGTGGGTCCGTCGTCGAGGAAAAGACGAAGAAGAAGAAGGGAAACAAACGCCAGCAAGATGATGATGATGAGGAGCCGGACTCCGCTGATGATGGTCAGAATGCTGCTTCTGGCAAGGTGTTCTCGGCGAAAGCCTTGAAACGCATGAAAGCCAAATTACGCAAGCAGACCGAAGCGAGTGTCTTGGCTGCCCATGGCCTGCCCCTGAAGCCTAACGCTAAGGGTGGAAGTGGCCAGAAAGGTGGCGGCAAGACTGGTAGGAACCAGAGCACTCCCTGCAACACTGTGACCAAACCCAAGTGCTGGATCTGTGGCAAGGGAAACCATAAGGCGGACCGTTGCCGCTGGAATCCTAACAATCAAGGGAAAGGTCAGTGGGGTGGTGCTTGGGGAAACCAGCAGCCGCAGTGGTGTCCGCCGGTGAACCAGAACCAGATGAACAACCAGAATCAAGGGCAGGGAGCCGGTGGAAAGCAGGGCGGTTGGGTCTGGCAAGGACCAGCCTGACAAGATGAAGGAGGTGTTTATATCTCGGAGCATGGTAGTTGTGCGCTGGACTTCGAGAATTTAGAGGAGTTTGATGTAGATTCTTCTAGCTGTTTTACTGCACAGACCAGGGACGAAGTGAGCTTGGTCGATTCATGTGCAAGCAAGTACTTATCTAGACTGACACAAGTCGGATTTTATCGACATCTCGAGCAACGTCTGTCGAATCAACGGCACGGCCGGGGCTCGTGATGGTTTTGTAGGAAAACTGAAGGAAAACGCTCTAGGTTTGCCCTATGGCGTCTACTTTAAACATCTACCAAGAGATATTGGGCGTGTTCTTCCGTGGCTCGGTGAGGACAATCTCAGTGATCGTGGGTGGGATCTGAACTACAACAGCTCTGGCGGTTCCTTGGTCAACAGGGAAACCGGTCAGATGCTACCAATCAAGAACCACGAGAGGTTGGCCCTCCCAGTCCTTGGGTGTGATCTTTTCGCGATGGGCCTCCGGGGCCAGACGACTAGAGACACCGCGGAGGATATTGCATGCATTGCAATAGAAGAGAGTATTGCTAGCTGTCATCTTACGCGTCTAGAAACTAGAACAACATAGAAGATTCGGACGCTTTCATGTAGATGGTCTTAGTGTCCAGTGTCCTGAATGCGACAAAGCGAAAGGCGCGAGAAGCTGGCTCTCACGCAAAAGAGCGAGACACTAGTAATCACAAACCTGAGCCATTGAAACTACTAGCGATGGACTTCGCGGTAGGTATTAAACCTGTATCGATTCGGTCACGCGCCTGCGTGCTTGTGGTCATCTGTGATGCCATCAAGAAGTGTTTCTGTGTCCCTCTCAAGCTGAAAAGTGACTGCGTTGAGGTTTTGGGAGAGTTGATCAAAGGCATTCGCCAGAGCTACGCTTTGACCCTCGAGGACAAAGCGGCATTGTTCGTCCGTAGGGACAATGAGCCAGTTCTGGGCAGTGAGTCCATGACCAAGGTCATGCAATCGCTGCGGGTCGGTGATGCTCCTACGGTTCCCTACAACCCAGAGCAGAACGGAACCTGCGAACGCTTTACGCGGACCATATTCGGCACTGTGCGTGCGATGTTGGTGAACGTGGGCAAGCGTCTGTGGTGTTACTCGGTCGAGTACGCTGCAGCATGCTGGGACCGCCTTCCGCATAAGTATAGTAAAATGCCTGAGTACGACGGAAAGACTCCTGCAGAAATTCTGGATGAGAGAACTGGAGGAAACAGCTCCAAAGTTGGCACAAGGATGCTAAGGCGTTTCGGTTGTCTCGTTTATTTTCGTGAACAAGTCAAGAAAGGCGAAGTCCATGAAGCTCCTGGGGGGGGAGTAGAAGTGGTTGCTCCAAAGCTGTCCGCGCCATTTCGTCGTGGTGTAAGTATTTCTCGGCCTTTGTCCTAAGTCTTCGGGCTGGCGGGTTGGGACGTACGTCACGGACGGCCGGTCCGCCGCGGGACATCGTTGGATGGAGTATTCTACCATCGACGTCAAGTTCCGTGAGGAGTACCTCGTGAAGAATA